TCAATACGCTCATTGGATATCGCTCGTCACATATCGTGTGTCGCGTTGCGCATCGCACTGGCTGCGAGAGTCATTACGTTACTGTTATGTCAATTTGTGTGTGAAAGCCCTTAAGGCCAAATCACACTAACAATTGGCGATAGATAATTGACGATTGAAGATTGGAACTTAACCAATTAGAACAAAGCAAGCCAAAGCTGAAGCTTGCTGATTCGTTAAAATCTATTCTTTAATTGTCAAACGTCAATCGCCAATCGCTAGTGTGATTTGGCCTTTAGAGCCTCCAAGAATTGATCAATCACGTGAAGAATTGTCTAATTGTAAGGTCGCGATTTTGATGAATACTCGATCGTAATTGGTTAATTCTTGCGGCACGTCTTACGTTACGGCTACGGAAATTTGTGTGTGGAGGCCCTTAGGGGCGCCGCACACGAATTGACATAACAGTAACGTAAGACGTACCGTAAAAATTAATCAATCACTTTGAGTATCGTCGAACTGTAAGATCGCCATTTTTATAAATACTCGATTATAATTGGTCCATTTTTATGGTACGACTTACGTTATTGTTATGTCAATCCGTGTGCGGCGCCCCTTAAGGTCTTTGCACGTAGAAAAATTTCGTACCGTATTAATTTTAATACCGTGTGTAATTTTGAACCGTAACCGTAATGGCTCCTGCACACAGGACGCGGTAATGCTTGCCGCGCGGCAGAAGTTCGCGTGACAGTCAATCAATATGCTGCGTTCCGTAATAACTTTCTAGCTCTTACAGAAAAACAACATATTGATTGCGGCGCGCGGCATGCATTACCGCGTCCTGTGTGCAGGAACCATAAGATCGTAAGAAAACTGACCAATCACAGTCGAGTATTCCTTGAACGCAAGGAAAATAATCAACTCTGATTGGTCAGTTTTCTTACAACCTTACGGTTATGGTTAAAAATATTCTATGTGCAAAGGCCCTTAGGCTGAGTTCCCACTGAGCGTGTCATGCGTTGCGTCATCTGTCTACATCACGAGTTAACCAATCAAATCCTTTAATTGGGATGACGCGCGCACGACGCACTTGATCCAATGGAACGATTTGATTGGTTAACTCGTAACGCAGGCAGACGATGCGACGCGTGACGCGCTCAGTGGGAACTCAGCTTTAGGATGCGTTCCCACTTAGCGCGTCACGCGTTGAGTCGTCCTTCGCGGACCAATCAAATCGTCCCATTTTATTCTTCGTAAAGTTAGGCAATAAATTGCGACGATTTACTTGGTCCGCGACGGATGACGCAACGCGTGACGCGCTAAGTGAAAACGCACCCTTATGGCTCCTGCACACAGGACGCGGTAATGCTTGCGCGCGACAGCCATTCAATATGTTGTTTTTCCATAAGAGCTAAAAGATTATTACGGAAAGCAGCATATTGATTGGCTATCGCGCGATCTTCCGCCGCGCGACAAGCATTACCGCGTCCTGTGTGCGGCAGCCATTACAATACGTTGCTACCAAACAGCTGCTAGCCAGTTACTAGACAGAAATTGGCTGCATTCAGCAGACTCAACAGTTGCACAACAGTTGAGTAATTTGTCAATGTAATTGGTCTAGATTTAGGGATCTAATAGCAAGAACCAATAATCGTTTATTGCTCACTGAGCGCTTTTTCTACTGAATGCGCCCATTGACCGCGTTCAGTAGAACAAGTGATCAGTAAGCGCTCAGTGAGCTCTTGCATCTGATTGGAGTATAGTTGGAGATCTAAAAGAATATGCAAGAGCAAATTATATACAAGAGCTCCCTGAGCGCTTACTGATCACTTGTTCTACTGAACGCGGCCAGGGATCACTACGATCACTGGGCAATTCTCTGGGCCATTATTAATTAATAAACTAATAACTGTACTGCACGCGCTGCAGATGCACCAAAGTGCAGAATCGGTACTAGCCACCTGTGCTCTCGGCGAATTACAGTTGTCAGCCGTATATGTTGAGACTAGGTTTGTTCTTTCAACCTGACCTAGGGCTGCACTGGAACTGTACTAGTTGAAGAAAGTTCAAGATAGTGCAGACCAGTGCAAAGATACATATGGGTCTGAAAAGAACGGGTAAGAGCAAGTTAGAGCAGTGTAAGATGGCGGACAACATGGCTGGATTAAATAACATAGATCAATTTATGGTCATGTTTTCGCACTTATAGCATTTTATGTTTTGTTGAACAATCCTATTTCTTTTAAAAACTGTTTTGTGTTGGATACCCATACAACAAATCCCTCCGAAAAAACGTCCAAGAGCCTTCCCAGGATGTCTTTCGGATATTTTGTGCTGTTTGGATAACATTCTAAATACTTCTTTTATGTCATTCTACATTATATATTTATTATATATTTATCTACATTATATATTTATTATATATTTAAGTATTTACTTACTGTTTATAGATTCCGTCGTCGGATTATTTCTTCTACGTAATGTCAACTAGATATACCGATTTTACAGGTTATAGATACAATTTTAAATTTTTTCGGTTAGCTGCCCTGCACTGCTTGCTCTACCTCCAGACCTAGGGCAGTCAGTTCACTGAACTCGCTGCACTAGTTCAGCCTGCGCTGTTCGAAAGAACACATTTTCTTGCACTGTTCTGATCGAAAGAACGCATTAGTGCAAACTTCGTGAACTAGTGCAGCCAGTTCAGGTCGAAAGAACAAACCTGTTGTGACGACCTCACATCACGCTCTGCGATGACGGTGAAATGCCCGAGCAGTGAAACATGCCCGTGCAGCAAATAAATAAATATATACCAAAACTGTGTAAATTTGCTGTCTGTGCAGTGAAACACACGTGCACGATGAGGCGCAATATCGAAACGACCGCGCTCGCCTCGGTTTCCCGGTGCACGTTTCCGTATCCCGGTTACCGCGACGAGATTATGTCGCGCGTTCGTCACTTACCGTCGTCTCTGACGCACGCATGTGCACGCAGTGAATAGTTATTAATGCCTGATTTGTTACTAGCAGCGCAATGACTATATAGTTTTTGAGAAATTAATTATTTTGTCTCAACAAATCAGCGTACAGAAAGCGGCAGCGGAAAGAAAGATGCCTTCGGCCGACGTGCGACCGCGACACTCGCGAATCGTATCTCGCCGCATCCCTCCGCCCATAGCTACGAGACATAGACTCGCTATGTCTCGTAGCTATGGGCGGAGGGATGCGGCGAGATACGATTCGCGAGTGTCGCGGTCGCACGTCGGCCGAAGGCATCTTTCTTTCCGCTGCCGCTTTCTGTACGCTGATTTGTTGAGACAAAATAATTAATTTCTCAAAAACTATTGCGAATATCGCAAAACGGCACAGGACTTTCTTGCTCACCTCAATCCGTTCTACGTTCTCACCAAGGGTCATCATGGGACTTCGGGACACCCTGTATATATATGGAGAATTAATTAATTCTGGTCGCGTTTAGTTAGTTTAGACAGAGAACTGCCTTCTGTGGTTGTTCTAACAGTTGGTCGTATATTCACACTGCAATATTTGCTGCAACTACAAGTCTGCTACTCCTAACCTCTATACTGTACCATATGATATGGTTGCTATTATTTTCTTGAAGCAACGACTGCATGGCCAGCTTCGAGCCGTGGATTTCTTCCAGTTTTTGGATATCTTTATTGGTTACAATGATATTGAATATATTTTGTTAGTGGATATTAAGACTGTTGTTATGAAGGATGGTTCTCACAGGTCAGCAATAAGGGTAGCGGTGATTGCTGGAAGGAAGATTATTGCTTAAAATAATTGAAAAAGAAGTAGCCTTAGAAATATATTTTGGTAGATAAAATCAGGATATAAAAGAATTCTCACAACTTTTATTGCTTGTACACAGCTGGCTAACCATTCTTTGTAACAACAACAATCTTAATATTCACTATATTATATATAACAAAATATATTCAATATCATTGTAACTAATATATCTAAAAGCTGGAAGAAATCCACGACTAGAATCTGGCCATGCAGACTCAGCACTCCACAGCCTTAAGAAAACAGCAGCATACCATACGATACAGTATTGAGGTTAGGAGTAGCAGACTTGTAATTGCAACAAGTATTGCATTAGGAATATGCGACCAACTGTCAGGACAACCACAGAAGGCTATCCTCTGTCTAAACTAACTAAATTCAGTCAGAATTAATTAATTCTCCATATATATATATGGAGAATATATATATATATATATATATATATATATATATATATATATATACACACACACACACACACACACACACACACACATATATATATATATATATATATATGTATACAAGCGAGATAATAATTCATATACTTACTGCAATATTTTATTACTTCTACCTCATATCGGTTCCAAGTATTACGATTAGGACTTATGCAGTTTGCTATAAGTACAGTACTATTAGCTGTGCGAGGTGGCCACCAACACTGTTGACTTGTACTATCATCAGTAAGCCAGGCCGTTGGTATTTCCGAATATGTACAATCCAAAAGAAATTTAATAACTGCATACTTCTTTCTTTCGGAACTCATCTCAATATGATCTGTAGAAACAAAATTTTGTAATTAGTATAACACACATATTATAAAATTCATCGGAATAATTATATCTCTAAACGAATAAAAATCTAAAAAAACTGAATTTCCCTCTATCATGTATAGAACGGGCACGTATTATGGAACTTGTTGGAATAAATTCCGATTGGAATAATTACGTTATCCCTAGAAAAAACAATTCCAATCGGAATGAATTTCAACGAGTTCAATAATACGGTCTACAAGCTTTACAACTAAAACTACAAAAGCTTTTAATAATATTTAAAATTTTATATAAAAACAAGCGACAATTTTAATAACAAAGTTTTACTCTTATTTTTTATATTTGCGGATAAAAAACAATTGAAATTTGATATTTATAATCAATAAATAATAGTAACAATTGCATATGATAACATGTAAAGGAAATAAAGTGAAAAATGTAATATTATATTACTCACCATTTACATATCATTTGTCCATCAATTTCCAATGACAAATCAGGATTTAGATACTTCAATATTCAAAATTTAAATAAAAAAATAATATACTATGTTTAACTTGCAAATAAAGTTTTGTATAGTATTTAATTTAATTTTGTATATTATTTTATATCAGTTTTTAGAATGCACAAATACAAAAAAATATATACATTCAATACAATTCATTGCATTTAATTATTCATATATTGAAGTGGTATTGTGATATATGAACCTATTTCATGAAGACATTTAATTTTTAAACATTTTCTTTTTATTTGTACTGTTGTAACTGTTATAACGTCTGAAGTAGTACAATTTGATATTACATATATTCCAAGTTTGTCGGAGGAACATGGTATTTTAAATAAATATTTTGGATTTAAAAATCGTCGTATACGAATATATAATATGTAGTTTTCTTCAAATATATGGAGAATAAATATTACACATTTATCATCCAATATAGCACAGTTGTCGATTTCGTTCACAGCAATTTTAAAACTTTTGTATTGTATGTATGAAATTTCGTTATCTTTTTTATAAACAAGTGGGATATTGTTTTTTATAAACAGTGGGATATTGTTTTTTTCCTAATGGTTGAATTGGAAGTTGTAGGTCTTCAAACACACAGTTAGAAAACTCTTGTAAAGGTACCCCCGATTGATGCAATTTCTTTTTAATTTTCTGCATATGATTTTCATATTTAAAACACGAAAAGTTGTCTAAACATCCAAAAGCTTTCACATCATTGGCGAGATGAAGAAGATTATGAACGTTATGGGACATATGTTCGTCACCATAAATATCTCCAAAATTTGAAACGAACCACAATAACAACGAATTTGCATAATCGTTGAATGTTACACATAGCTGTGGGTCAGTGGGAAGCTATCCTTATAGCAACACTAAGAGAAATGAAATGGTTATAGCAAATTGGTGATAATACTGTTTTCATAACTATACATCCAGTGTAGAACAAAAATTGACGGAATTCAGTAGCCTTCCACCTATCAACATCGTCCAAGCTTCTACATTTTCTTGCAAATTCTACTGGAATGTAACGCTGAATTACAATTAAATGACGTGACACTAAATTTATGTTCTCACTTGATAATCTGATATTTTTATTTCCTCTCACCCATAATTGAAGTAAACGTTTCATAACGCCTAAACACACGAGATGCATGTAATTCAGCGGGATTTGAGATATCATTCCGATAGAAAGGTTTTCTAATATTGAATTACCTGTGTGATGTTCAATTTGGTTTTTATTTTTGAATGTGTCGTCTGTACGTAATGTACTTTGAGTTTCTGCAAAAATGATTCTATTGCATACAAAATCACTTTCTTGTGTGCATTTCGAACATGAAAAATATCTCGTATGACCTTGTGTGTACGTAATAAAGGATTTTGCTGGAGCATCACATAATATGGCGTTAAGAACAACAGAATATCTTTTATTGAAAACAATTACGCCTCTTACAGAGAGAAGAATAAATTCATTAACAAATTCATTTAGAAATTCATTTGTGTGTGTGTGTGTGTGTGTGTGTGTGTGTGTGTGTGTGTGTGTGCATCATTTGGTTTGCTCATACCGTGATATATACCAATTATAAAAGGAGATGTATAAATGTCAATGTTTTCAATAGATGCCATTATTGGCCGGAATGGGATCCTAGAACTTTTGGAAAGTGGTAAGCCATCAATATTTATTATTATATTTAATTTCATTTCCTTTTATATGTTTATGGTATATTTATATTGATCTTTGTAGACCAGAGAAAACACCGAAGTGTATATAAGAACCACCAGCTATAGCTTTAATGTTAATGGATGCATTTCGTGGTGTTTGAAGTAAAATGCGAATATCTTTAGGTAATTCTACGTGCCCATGTTTTATTAGGATTTTAAGTAATTTATTAGCAGCATTATGTGCAATGTTATGATCAATAATAAATGTTTGCAAATCTTTTCATAAATTTTTATTATTTGTGTAGTCAAAAATATCTGTTATTTCAGAGACATTATCTTCTACTTCAACGTTATATTGTTCGTTGTTTTATGTCTCAAATTGTGATTCTATATTTGATTCAATTATCTCATTAACGTTTACAGGTAATATATAACTTTCATAGGATATATTATTAGAACTTGTCGAAGTAATTTCCTCGTTTTCTAACATATTAAATGCAATATTTAAATGAGTTGAATGTATTGTAGGATTTAAATTAGAATTTCTATAACGATTTAACTCTACATTAATCAACTGATTTTTTCGTCTTTTTGACAACGATTCTAAATCCTTCGGCATAATAATGTTGCGTTTTAGGAAATGCTATAAATATTTTAATATTAAATAAAATGAACAGCATAAAACAAAAGGTAACATACTTATAAACAAATATTCCATATTTCAATAAATACCTGTGTATGAAAAATAAACACCTTATACAAATATTTTCTCTGGTTGAGTAGAGTTTCCCCAGAGAACGTAATAAATGGAATCTTCTCTTTCTCTCTGCTGTCGAAACAACTGTGTGATGGTGTTCTTATACAAAACTATTACGTTGATGGGACGTAATAATACTGCAACATAATATGATAGTTATATGTCTATCTACATAGCAAACATAAAAACACAAGGTTAATTTAGATTCTGTTCTAATTTTTATTAATCATATTGAAAATTTATAGTTAATGTTAGATATAGATTTTCAGTATTAGCACTTTATCTCAGCCTGTCAATAAGTTTAATTTTCTATGATTGACGTACTTAATAAATAAAGTCCTTTCTTTCTTTCTGCTGTCTCTCAACTATACTGTTACTCTATACTGGGTGCTTTTTACCTACGTATACTGTGTTACACAAAACCAGTTCATTGGTTGCATATTATTTAACAAGATATTTTAGATAATGTGTGACCAATAAACTGGTTTTGTGTAACACAGTGTACGTAGGTTGCTTCCCAACAAGAGACACAAGTCGACACAAATATCATTCTATCTTTGTTCCACATTTAGTAAGTAACAAAGATAAGATGATACTTGTGTTGACTTGTGTCTCTTGTTGGAAAGCAACTGTAGCTGGAAAGCACCTACTGATAACTGCTCTGATGATTTAATACAATATACTACAACATAATATAAAAATTGTAATTATTTTTCATAACTCAGACCGATGAGACATAAATAATACTTCTATAAAGTTATAAACATTATTGTGCATAAGCACTCCAACGAGATGTCAAAACTTATGTTAAAAACAAACTCTTAATAAATTTAATTTTTATTAATTAAAAAATAGTCTCGTAGATTAAGGAAGAGTCTGTGTGTATTAAGAGGTCACATGGTTAATCTGTTAAAGATTTTAAGGTTAAGTTGCATAAAAATTTATATACTCACCGACGAAAAGGTTATCCGATTTTATTTTGTAAGTTGCAAAACTCATTCGTCTTGTGCAATAAGAAAATGTTCCCCAATGAGAGGATTCTCTCATCGAACAAGACTGATGAGATCCGAAATTTACAAGAAAACATACGACAACTTTTTCGTCGGAAAGTGTACAATAGTAATAGACATGTACAATAATTTTAGAATTATTTGGTATAAATTATATTTATTAAATAAGAATAGATTACCTGAAATTATAACAACCGTTTCTATATTACTTTATACGTGTCACAAAACCATGAAGGAGAAGAATAAAAACCGCATTATTACACGTCACGTTAGGTGCGTTCGGGGAGCTTGCTATTAGCGCTACCGTGTCATTCTATTCTTGTTGTATATCTAAGGAGCGATAAAGATAGAACAACGCAGTAGCGTTGGTAGCGTGCTCCCCGAACGCACCCGTTATCCGGATGAATGTTGGTTCAGCCACAATAGACAATAGCGTAATTCAAAAGTTTAAATCCTTATTATCCTCTTAAAGGATATCTTAATCAGTTTAATCCTGATATAAGAAATATAATATTAAAAATTTATCTACTTGTTTCATTATCAATTTACTTACCGGCTTTTAATTACAAATTAATTCTATACAATTAACAATAAGTAGCATATAACAGTGCAATGTAACTATGTTAAAATAGTTATATATTGCATATGAAAATTGTAACATTACATTAAAATTACATAAATGTAACATTTCTTGTGTAACATGTTACATCCAGGTTACATTAATGTAATTTTCTTATAACCAGAAAGTAACTAACAATATAACAATTTCATCTACATGTTATATTGCGTAAATAAAATAAAGATATTGAAGGTGCGCAACTAAGTTCCCGCTGTTTGTCAATAGATGGCTCCAGCAGTAAGTGCTGGTCGATTTTGACATATCCAAAACGTCATGAACCAAGCTTAGACATATGGTAAACAAACCGCTTTGACACGTTAGTGATTTTGTTTTGGCGTCATATACTTTTGGTTGTGTGAAAATGTCTGATTTTGTGCCAAATAATCGTCATTTGCGGGAAGTGTTGATTTTCTTATTTCATTCGAAGAAAATGGCGGCTGAAGCGCATCGAGAGCTCCAAAAAGTTTACGGAGATGCTGCT